AAATCCAAGGTAAAAGTTTAGGAAGAACATCATGGCTGCGAAAATGATACGGATGCACATCAACCGAACTTTTCAGAGCAACCGCCTCCAAAGTCAGGATTGCTATAATGATTGTCAACCCTCGCCGTGGAGATGGCCGTGAAGAAGAATGCAATAATAATAATTGACTTGGCAAACAATGCATTACGTTGTAAATATATCAATAAGATAACATTAATTCCGTATTTGAAGATTCTTGTCAGAATAGTTTTGAATTTCAATTCTTCTAGATTTGGCATCTACAAATTTTCTAAAATAATTTATTGCTGCTATAGAAAATCTCTATTGACTTACCAATTGACCTGTTTACTTCATTGCAAAAATTGTAAATTTAAAAAAGGATTTTCTGATTTCTTATCACGTTGAAAGTAGTCAGAAGAGATTATGCTTAGCTCTATCTTTGTGGAATGCTTAGCAACAGTATATTTAATCTGGTTAAAGAGAAAAATGACAAAATAAAGTTGAGTTATTAAAGAAGAGCTCAATCAAATGTAAAATTCCAACGTTACTTGTTGCACGATCGAACCTATTAGTGGCGTTGCACTTATTAATACCCAGTTTCTGAAACGACCTTTATAGTTTCAATAGCCTACACGGTTCTAAAAATGGAAAAAAATGGTTCCTGAAACGTTCACTCGAGCTCGTCGAGCGAGAGTTCGACAAAAGCTAGCAATTAGTTACACCGAAGAATTGATAAATGTGCAGAGAAATCATGGCTTATCTTTTACCGAACAATTGCTAATTGTCTTCAGATTTTATGCAACAGATAATAATAGACAAAATTGTTTTCTTTTTTTTATTATTTGTAATGCAAATTTTGCATGCGAATCGTTGATGTGCCAGTAATGAGACGATGTATGTTGTGCATGGGAGAAACGGCGGCTTGTTTGAACACCTCCTTTAATACTAAAAAGTTACTTGTTCTTTTGCAGTGTTCGATGTATGATCAATAATAATTTAAAGTAATAATTAATGGAAATATCAATGCCTACTACCATAAAATCTTAATTTTGTGCATTTTAATTATTTATCTTGACCGAACATAAACATGTTACACATGGTTGAAGAGCATTTTAAAAGGGAATTTTAAAATGCAGAAATTCAATATGGCGCCCATAAAAAAAAACAAAAGTTGACTTCGGCTTTATTGAACATAGTGGGCCTAGATTATTTTTTACTTTATTTTAAAGTTCACGCTCATTTCTTACCCCCACCCTAAAAATTGCGTTATTGTATCTTTTATAATAAACACGATATAAAGGATTTTATAAAACGCATTTTTTTATTTTTTTCCCTGTATATCCGTTGCTATTCCGAGTTCAAAGAAGTTGATGACAGATTATTCATAGGCACTTGATTGCGCAACTTTTCCCCATTTGGTCCACTCTGTATCTTTAACGGTTTCCAATATCCCCATGTACATCATTTTATACTGTATATAGTTTTATACTTTATATATATTTTACATAAATAAAAGGTCTATTGAAATATGTATACAAAAAAGCCGTCTTTGTTAAAGCTACGATGAATTCTATAAAACCGAAATGTAATTCTATATTTAAGAGAGTATATTTGGAGTTTCAGTCAGCAAATCTTGGATCGCCCATAAACTATTGTTTTAGACCATTACATACATGATTTATATCTATTATATGTAGTTAAAATTTAAAAAATAATAAACATGTAAAATTACTTAAAACAGAAGATCCAGAACGAATATGAGATGAAGGAAGGAAAAGAAATACGTAATGGAAATCTATGTATTATATCTATTATTATATATTAAATGACATGTCTTTTTGCATACGGTCTGCTGTATTAGGCCGTATATATATGGCCTAGCTATACGGTCTGATTATATATACCGTCTGTAGCATATATTTCATACCAGTAGTAGTGTGATAAGCGTTAACTATTGCCAAAGTTAAGTCAAGCCAATTTTTAAATAAAGTAACTTTATTTTTCTAGTATAATAAAGCGCTTCTTTATGCACGCAAAGTTTGTCCATAAAATAGTTGTTTTATTGGTCAATTGTATATAAAATGTTCAGTAAAAATATGTTGAAGTTACTAAATCTCTGGCATACACAGATACATATCTATGGAAACGAATAAAGTAAATTGTTTCAACAAGGACTTTTCACTTATACGTGCATAGAGAAAGCTTTTTTGTGTTACTTTGGTTTACATAAATTTTGGGTTGCATTAGTTTGGTTTGTTATTTTATTTCGATCAAACGTTTTGATTTCCATGTGCACAAAATGTTTTGTGCAGTCTGGCAACGCTACCAGTTTTGTCTAAATAGCCCTATTCATATTAACGAACTCCTTTCGGTAACAGTGTCGTTTACAGACAAATATGGTTGTCAGAATGCTACAACTAAAACCGCCAATTCAAAAAAGATTGCGCCAACATAAGAAAAGAATTGCCAATTTGGCGACAAATCGCCACACCTTTTCACCACGAGCGGCTAATTGCCTGATCTGGCCCCGGCTTCTCTCATTGGTCGGCGGCACTTAGCACACTAAACGTCAAACAGCAGGCTGGTAATATCGAGGTTGTGTTGTTCATAGTATGTTCATAGTTGTCTTTATCTATGGTGTTGTTATTGTGTTTGTGTTTCGTTTACAGGTTTTGTCATTTGGTCGTTCTTGATTTAAATTGATTAAAAATGGTTGTGATATGTATGGTCTGCAACAAAACATTTTGCAAACAATATAGCTTAAACAGATATAATAGAAAAATACATCATTTGGCACCGAAACATGTTGTTTATGATCAGTCGGAGTATATGTATAAATGTGTAAAAAAAGATTGTGGTAGTTCTTTTCGGTGGAATATTGGGTTGAGAGCTCATACTGAAAAACATAACAACAGGTTTTGTATTCAGAAAATGGAACTTTCTAGTCAACAAGGTAAATAAAAACTGACAAGATAATAAAAATAATTTTACATATAGTTTCCTAGAGTTCAAGGCCTGGAAAGAGTCAATGGAAAAATATAGGAAAACCCGCTATGGTCATAAATCTGAGTTACAGCATTTCAGACTTCTACAGCAAGATAAAGCAATGGTAGCTTCCAAACTTATTTTGGGAGTTCCAGCATCAAGGTATGCCATTTAAATTACTCACCAACAATAAAATCTGTACAACTGAAAGTTAGGTAATTTTAATATTTGTCGTTTTTAAGGATTCTAGATTTAGAATTTAGAAGAAAGAAGGAGTTAAACATGACAATGATGCAATACCCGTCGATTTGTGGGGAAAGCAATGCAATCAAGAGGAAAGTAGCTGTATATTATTTTATAAACAACAGGGTGTGGAGGAGCATGATTATCAATTAAGTATTGTAGATTTTTGCTTGGTCATAATGACGGATTTTCAAAAAAATATTATGAATTTTGGGAACAATATAGTAGCAATAGACGGAACTCACGGTTTAAATAATTATGATTTCTAATTAACAACGATATTGGTGGTGGATGAATTTGGTGAAGGAATACCAGTAGCTTTTATGTTCAGTAATAGAAAGGACATATATATATATGAACTGTTTTTTAGAGTAATTAGATTAAATCTCGGACTAATTTCTTCTAAAATTTTTATGACCGATATTGTTTCCACTTTCTACAATGCTTGGTGCAGTGCAATGAGTCCCGTCAACCAGCAGCTATTTTGTTCATGGCACATTGATCGTGCATGGCAACAAAATTTATCAAAGATAAGCAATAAAGAGAAACGATCAGAAGTCTATAAAGTTATCAAGTGTTTGCAGCAAAATACCAGTGAGGATGTTTTTTCTGAATTTCTTCAAAATTCCATTTTACAAATGCTTTCAGATTCTGAGATTCAAGACTTTGGACTTTATTTTCAAAATAACTAGCAAAAACTGTGAAAAGTGGGCTTATTGTTTTAGTTAGCATTGTGGAAAAAATACGAATATGCGTTTAGAAT